TTATCTTGGGGAATATCATGTGCTTATTGTGCGGTTATCTTGGGTATATTGTGTGCTTATTGTGCGCTTATCTTGGATATATCGTGTGCTTATCATGCGGTTATCTTTGATTTATCGTGTGCTTATCGCGCGGTTATCGTTGGTAGATCGTGGGCTTATTGTGCGGTTATCTTGGATATATCGTGTGCTTATCGCGCGGTTATCGTTGGTATATCTTGTGTTTATCGTGCAATTATCTTGAGTATATCATTTGCTTGTCATGCGGTTTTCTTGGGTCTATCATGTCCTCTTCATGCGGTTAACATTGGTATATCCTGTGTTTATAATGCCGTCATCTTGGATATATCGTGCAGACATAAACATCCTCTAATTCCCCAGAAGTGTTGTCAGACATACATGTACATGGATATATTTACCACTGAATTGGAAACAAATTGAAATTGTTTTTAGGCAACAAACAGACACTAACGTTTCACCGGTGGAACAGGACATGCTTACTTTGTTTGCGAACACCTGGTGTCATCAGTGATTTTCAGTGAACCATATACATATAAGTTTTACCTCTTTTTTGCCTTTTACGCCCAATAGAATCTGATCAGGTAAATAATCGAGACTGATGTTATCTGGCGTTGACGATTCATATTAATCAAAATACATTATTTAACAGAGATATACATTCACCATAACCCAGGGGAGAGACGCTTAAAGAGGCTTAAATCTCGAGCTTGCGGACAATCCCAGAAAATTTGAATCTGGTCATCAACACTTTAATTTACTAGACTAATTAATCCATTAATGATAACCGCCATTATCCACTAACGATAGTTACACATGGCACTAATTAAATACAACGTGTATATTTAAACATGATATTGGCATCAAACTGTTCAAACAAGTCGCCCGTTATATCTGCATTATAAAGAACATTAATGCCAAACTTCCTCCTGGTTTTAACTGACGATTGTGATTTCCCATCGCACAGAATAACATCAAATGAATCATTTGACAGCACATCAATGCTATCAAAAAAATCAAGAATACAAAAAGCATCTAGGCTCTTTAAATTTGAACCTTTGCTAAGATCTCCAGAAACATCATACAATTCATTAATTCTAATGTCAGAAACAAAGCGTCTATTATGTAAATTTGAGTGTTCAAATCTAAGCATCTGTAATCCTATGTAAATTGGTTCACCGAGATTTAAGATGTTAGTAATTACACAGACAGCACAATGCGTTCTCTTCAGACATGGTATATTATGACACAGCTGCTTAAGGTTGAAGATACATTGTCATTTGGAAAGAGCCTAACCTATGTAAAATCGTACAGACGAGTACGCGGGTTGGTGAGTAAGTGTGTGAGTGGATGGGTTTGTGATCCACCAACCCTTGTATATCACCCTAAAGCCGGGCGCCAGGCAGGTCAACAGCAACCACTTTTGGTATGACGCGGCCGCCTAGGATCGAACCACCGACCTTTCGCTCTATCCACTGTTATACGTTTGGAAACACTTAGTCGTATAGAGAAGAAGCCAGTAAATATATTGTACCCAGTCCCTTGATTTGTCACTAAAGAGTTTTATGTATGACATAATATTATCAAGATAAAAAAATATATCATAATATAACGAGATTTACAAGCACATGAATTTAATACAAACCTTTACCTTGTTTCAGGAACACATTAACAACGCCTGTATGTTCAGTGTTAGCTTGGACAGTATTTTCTGTTTCAAACGAACAAAGTCATTTCGTTATCTTTCTAACACTCAGTGTGCAAATGGCTGTATAACAATTTCGTTCGCATTTCACTTGAATACACGTTATGTAATCAAAGTCTTATCATCACTACACGTTTCTAAATGTATCCCTCAAGTATCTGTTTATAACAAGCCGTGACGTTATCTTCACACGGAGTGGGTAACTTTCAGTAATTAGTGTCTATCGCCACCTGACAATCTGGAAAGAACCTATCTATTTTATGTTACATTGCTTGTTTCGTAACGACTCGTGTTGGAGCTTGGCAGCAATTCAAAATGAATATCTGCTGCATCATATATACATAGGACATGGGTAAAAATTACATGGCGTCATACGAAACTACCGGGAAAAGAAAGGATACACCCTTGTTTGATGGGGGCTGCAAATGAAACAGTTGAAACATGAAATGTTTATTCGATTGGTATGTATTTGATACGGGTATCATAGTTGTGTTTTGGACATTAAGTTTGCAATGTTTCAGCGACTGTTTCAGGTCAAGCAACGTTTTCATAATGTATGTTTTGGTCAAATTCAATGTTTAAGTGTATACTTTCTGTTGGCCGGCAGTTTATATGTACAAGCTATGCAAACGACATAAAAAAAACACGAGACGAGGGTGAGATCCAATTCTCAGAATTAAATAGAAGAATGTGATCATTTGATGACCACATATACTCTCGAGACTGTCTTGAAATTATAAAGGGGCACATCGCCTCGCAAAATTACATAAAAATGCAGATTTTTAATTCGATTGGAGCTTTAGGGCGGCTTAACGTTTTATATGTCAGTAATATATTGATGTGCGTTCCTTAATCCAAAAGTTTAACAAAAATGTCTTACTTTTGTACAAAAAGGAAGATTGGTCAAGCGTCTACTGTGTAAGAGAATTTGTATGGTAAATACTTGTAAGTGACAATGCTTTGGTGACATAGTGACGCTTGCATTCAAATTACGTCCTATACAGCCAAATAGTTAGTCATTGCTGGAATGGAATGAATCTTTTGTGTAAGAGGTACATGTAGTCTGAAATCACGTGTGTTGGATTTATAACATTTATACCTCAAGCTAGCGCTTATGCCACACGACCAATGGATAACCAGGAAAGGTCTTCGTTGAGAAGTTTTTTGAGGAAGGATATTCTTTTCTCCACTGCTTTAAGACACACAACAAACATTTTATCTCTTACTTTAAGTTTTTCATTTTTTCAGAAGGAAACTATTTTCAAAAAATCCCTGGCCCAGTGACTTGGTTGATTTCATGTCATCGTATCCCAGTTGCTTAGTTCAATACTTATGATTTCTCTCACTGGTCCAGACTGGTCAACAGACTCGATTATTGTACAGGCATCCGTCACATAGCTGGGATCATTCCAAATGCGGCGTTGAAGAACAAACCAAACAAACCATAATGAATCTAAACGCCACAAAAGATCGCTAAAGATCCTCAATATAAGTTGACTGTCCAGAAGAGTGTAGACGTCATGTTTATGAAATAAATGCCAATCTTTACTAGCTTGATTATATCAAATCATTATAATATTATACATGTAGAAAAAGACATTTACAAACACATCAAAATTACTTTTTTGACAAATCAAAATCAATAACATTTGTTGTTATAATCACTGTGTTTATATTCAGAAACATATATTTGTGTTTGATACTTATAAATGAAAGATGTTCTGAACAGAAACATACTTTACATGTGAAACATTTATCTGAACATTCGTTTTCATTTAAGAAATATATCTAAATGTTTTAAATGAGTGTGTTATCGTTGATAAATGGAAGTCAGCGTTGAAAAGGCCAGGGCAAGTCTTGCCTCTGGAGATTATAATGGATTGCGGTATCTATCATTTAGCATTAACAAGAAACGTTAAAGGTTTCGTCTGTTTACCGAAGATAAATGTCTGGATGTTTACTCCCTGGATTTAGATTCATGCTGACATTATCTACAGAGGGTTGCCGTCCTCTCGTTACTGTCAGCACAGACGAAATAATTTATTGTGATAAACGTAGGTAAACTTTTAACTCCCTGCGTACTTACCCTCTGTACCAACAAAGCCATATATTCCCCATACATTATTAAAACACATGCGTGTCTTGTGTCAATAAGACTAAATTCGTGAGACCAAGTTCACATGGCCAGCTGCACCAAATAAACATCTTGAAAATACTTAAGCACATCTAACTACATGTCTATATTTCCATAGACAATAATATTATTTCTAAAATCCGTTTGCTGAGTTTATTTTTTTTACGAAACAAATTGTTATTATTGTTATCAATATTACTTATTGAAATACAGAAATCGAAATCGATTATGAAATGGCATTTTTTGTAACTGTTCTATGGCAATAGTGTTTTAACTTCCCTATGTTTCCTCTGCTTCATTTCATCACATGATTTAAAACAGTCCTTGTGACCATCTGAGGAACAGTGTTCTCACAATGTCCTCAAGCTTAATATCGTTGAATTTGCATAGAAACGTCAGTACATGTGTATGCAATAAACCAGAAGTTGTTATAAATATACTTGTACGTTTTTTAATAACGGTGTAAGAATTTACATCGATACGTCGCTATGTACAATAAACCAGAAGTTGTTATCTATAAAGTTTACGTTTTCTTACTTACTCACCAACTTCTAGAATGCCAATCAAACAGACTGTGTTCTTACACCAACTTTTCATCAGGTAACGGTTGTACCTCAGACATTTATCAAAGTGGTATCAATGCCATCTGTTGATATTTCCAGAGAAAACTATGAACATGTAGCTTGACGAGTGGTGCTTAACTTTTTTTCATGTGTATATCACCTCTTCCGTAATATGGACTGAATTAAGAATGTCCTTGTTTGCTTAATTGTCTAATACACAGAACAAATAAATCGCTGCACCTACGTAAAGATGTTTTGGGGTATACGTATTTTAATATCGTGGTGCTGAAGAAGAAGTTTTGAAAAGAAAAAAACCTCTGTATCTAGAAATATCATTTAATATAATCATCACACTTTAATTAACTAAACTAACTGAAACAGTTACTTGTTCATCACATGTGATCTTTTGTACGTATATGGTCAAACAATTGACGATAAAGTCAACTCAAATACCCCATATTTCATCGTTTGTCATTCTCTACCACTTGCCTGACCCAGACTCGATCATCAACAGGCCGCTGTGATAAAACTTTACTGAATAGTCACTCAACCACTCTTAGAATATACACATTATATTTTCCAGCTCTACCACCAGATGTCTCAACCATATGGGAAGCATATCCATGGAGGTTCGGGCTCGGCTTCTGCATCATCAAGTCCTTCGTGTCCGAGATGACGGCCTATGCTTCAGTTTTAACCATCACCGCCTTCACCATCGAGAGATACGTTGCCATTTGTCACCCTCTCAAAGCCCACTCCTGGTCGTCCTTGTCTCGGGCGGTGAGGATCATCCTTCTCATCTGGACAGTTGCGTGTGGCTTGGCTTTACCCTACCCAATACACGCCAGGACCTTCTATGGTGTCCAACACCCTCAAACGGGAGAAAACCTGGAAGACTCGTTGTTGTGTAATATACCCGTGGACTTCAGAGAGCGGATGAAGTACATGTTCCAGTTCTCTACGTTTGCCTTCTTTGTCATTCCCATGGTGGTGATTACTATAATGTACGTGTTGATTGGAGTTCGGTTGTGGAAGTCGCAGATGGCTGTTGATGAGAAGAAGAACAAGACAGCGGCAGAAGCAGCCTCCAAGGCCAGGAAGGCCGTGCTCAAAATGCTCGGTAAGTCTTTACAATGTGTGAAATGTAACGGGGAGCAATACCTAGAGTCTGAGAGAAAGCTTGATTTGACGCCCTTATATCACGGCTTGTCAGATTGATATGGGAGGAACGCCCGCTTGTGCAGATCTTATCACTGGTGATGGTGCACGGGTGTGGTGCTGACAAACCTAGAAACATAATCGCTAAGTAAGCGTTGATGCCACAGATATGCTGCTGTTCAAATGGTTGGGAAGCCTTTGGAAGCTCGTGAAATATTTCCCCAAGTGTGGCAGTCATGGTTGTGTTATGCACTTTGGTCAACCCTTTCTAGAACACACACAGACCACAATAACACTAAGACGTCGAGCTCAAAACGGTTTACAAGCATATTGTGTATGTATAGCTGTGTCTAGTATACGTACGTATACAGCTGTGACAAGCGTACATGTATACGTTGTATGTAGTTGTTCGTAGCTACGTAGCTGTGCCTTGTGTGCGTATAGCTATGCAAATAGTGTTTTTTAGATGTGCGTAATATGCGTACACCTGTGCTCAGCGTACGTCCAGATGTGACTAGAACAGTGTGAACACAAAGCCATATCTGGTATAAGCATTGTTACACGTAATCCTCGTAAACGTATGGCTAAATGCCTAGCTAGTGGTGAGGTGAGGTGAAATGGGGTTTAACGTCGCGTCCAAGATTATTGCACTTATATAGCGACGTGCATCTACATGTGTTTGTCTGTTTGTACTAGTCCGGACTGATGCCGATTTATAGTGCTAGCTCACTGAGATACCATGTCGCAGTTTAACATGAATACCCGAACCAGACACAGTCGATCAGTCCTTGTTTTAACTTCTAACTGCTGAGCGCCAGACAAGGTCACAACCAGTACCATCTTTTAACGCCGTTTGGTATGACGCGGCCGGGGATCGATCCCCGGACCTTCCGCTCTCCGGGCGGAGGCTCCTAGCTAGTTACACATACAGTTACACCTACAAGACGTAAAACAATGCCTAGTTTAGTATGCATAGTTTGCATGTTTGTACGCGTGCAACATCTATTTATCAATACTAACACCATTCAAGGTTGTACTCAAGATGACAAGCAAGTCCTTAGAATACACTTAGACATCTTCAGTTAACGACAACGATCGTTCTGAATGGCTTTGTGCTAATTGGATGTAACTGAATTATTGATGGTGTAAAAGACATACCTACGTCATTTTCGAGTGCGGGTCAAGAAATAAAAGTCCCCAAGAACGATACGTTACAACATTATGTCATTATCAAACCGAGTCTTAACTGCGTCTGTTTTTCCATACATATGTATGTCATTATGTTTATTGATTTTAAACTGCCGGGCAAAAGATAGCATAGCATACACCCATGTTTGATGGTGGCTAAAATGAAACAAGAAATGGTTATTTGATGGTGATGTATATGGTACGTGTATCATAGCTGTGCTTTGGACCTTACGTTTTCAGTGTTATGGCGACACTATTCAGCCTAGTAACTTTATTTTAACGTTTGTAGGACCCATTTGCACAAAGCGATCTTAGCGCTAAGATGATCGTCACTCCCATACTTTAACAAAGGCTTACAATAGTAGCGCTGAGATCGCTTTGTGCAAGTGGGCTCTGGTCAAGTCTAATTTTCAAGCCCGGCAGTTTAGTGACAGTATAAATAATTCCATAGTAAATTACCAGAAACTACATTTATCATCCAAAACTGGCTCCCACAGGAGATATCGCTTTGATGAGATCAAGCGATATCTACACTGTAGATATCGCTGCAATGAAATTACATCACAATGCTTTGCAGACCATTGTGACGTCACTGGTTACCATGACGTCACAATCAAATGACATCACTAATGGCTCTGCTACTGAAGCTGTTAGAAGTACTTTTTATACTGAAGACACTACTAATTATTGTCTAAAATTGAAAAAGTTGAAAGAATGATGTTGGATGATAAATAAAATCTCACCCTCGTGTCTTTTGATATCAAATATACCAACACTCGGCAAGCTTCGGAATTTTTCCACTTTTATCAACTCGTGTTGATATATTTGATATCAAAAAACACTCGGGTGAGACTCTCTATGTATACTATGGGGATATTTGGAAACAGCTTTCACGTCAACATTCCCATCTTTATCGACTACAATCCCAACACTGCACTGGCACCAATTTGTACCGGTTTATTACCCCATCTATCATTACCAGAGAGTATTAGCCATGTTAGCACATTGAAATAGACACGATTTCAAAACCGGATATTGTCACATTACCAATAAAAGCCGACGGATGAGATTTTCTGGGCACCATGACTATCAGGATGTCGTCAGTAGCCTCATCAAGTAAAAACTATCTCTTTTGCTACAGATGTATGAGTTCATTTAGGGGAACCGACATGACATCAGGCACATTCCGGTTTTCCGTTCTACTTATTTATTTTGCCTGTCAGCTGACGAGGTTATCTCTATCAGAATGGACACGAAGCCAGGTTGAATTAGGGGCCAGGTACATTGATATGTGGAAATAGGATCTAGGTCGTTGTTAATTATCTGAAATACTTTAACTGAATCTCCATCCCAACTGTAGAAATTGCTGCTGTAATCAGTTATGTTAATGACATGTCAGTTTAATTAGAATTGAAGACTGGTATGTGGATTATTGACGTATACTTCATTCATATGCTTATTATAGTGACTGTATACACTTAATATTGACTAGTGGGGGTGAGACTTTCGATTCACTGGATGTGATCAGTCACATATATTCTCGTGTTGCGGATTTTCCGAATATCTTGATACAATTTCTGAAATGATTGTTGCAAATTTTCTGAATATCCCGTGCTGCCTATTTCAAAATATGTCCTTTTGGATATTTTTAATATCTGTTGTTTATTTCTAAATATCCCTGGCTGCTTATTTCTGAATCTCCCTTCCTGCTTATCTTTTGATATCATCTCTTTATTATTTTCTTTTAAACTTTTAAACTTATTTTTTTAAATCCCTTGGATAATTTTATAACAACTATAATAGAATGTACCACTTATCTGACGTGCAGATATAATGTAATGTAAAATGTCCTGGAAAACTTAGAGTGACACTATTAGACAGTAATAGATTTAAATTTACAAGACACTGCTGTTCTTTGAAGAACTAAAGGAGAACAGTTGCGTGCTTTGTTAACATCAGTCGAACCAGAAAATCACTAAGAAATTCTGCTGTCGCCAGACTGGCAATTTAGCAAATGGTCCACATTAGTCTTGTTCTCGTGCGCTCTTGCTAGCTATGCAATTTAAAGCGGTTGCTTCGATTTATATGATTACATTTCAAGGTAGGAAAAAATGAACTTTTAAAAATCATTCTGCCTTTTTGATGTGTACAATACGTGATTGAGCTGCCATACTGTCGGGTTCATTTTGGCAAAGTAAGTAAATTCGTTTGATACTGATTTTATATTTATTCTCTTTTCACGTCGAGACATATGGTTCTTTGAAACATTTTAATGCTGGTTCAACGTGAACGTGTTTGATGCAATAATATGTTTGTAAAATGCATTTGAACATGTTTGGATTTTTATCTAAGTGTATTTTACGGCCTATTGCTATCAGAGAATTACAACATACACTGAAATGCCATTTTGTAAATTGTGTTCAGAATGTGAATATTAACGTAGCAATATATTTCAGACAGTCATATTAGTGCGTATGGTTCAGCATTTCTAATGCAAAATATAACTTTCTAGCCATGACGGAGATCTCAAACAAAACATAGTCAAATGTTTATTCATTGCAAACGGGATGAGGTTTGACCCAAGGACTTGAGCTCATATTGTCTTTTTAAAGTGCCCTTTGGTTGTGGATAGTGTGCATGTGTCCCATCTTGTGAGTCTGAGATCTGGATTAACTGTGCAATACTAAAAGGAAATTCGTGTATAAATCACTCGACCCCGACACTGCGTCTAAAAAACAACTCTTGGCGGAATAAAGACAACCCCAATTCATCACAAACTGCTATGTTTTCGATGAGAAGGTCTAATACATGTCAGTGCTTATGTTGGGAGATCATTTTCCTCAACCAGCGCTGTACAAAAATCCTATATGCTGAAGCGTATTACAGTCAATTTCCAATACGCAATAACGCTCGCTGGTTCACAAGTGTACTTCAACGCGCCAGAGTTCTCGCGTCTCGCTTTTCATTAATTCTTTGTTTTCGTATGCGCGAAAACTAAATATTTGTTGTTTGACGTTCATTATGGCAATAAAACTTGCCGTTTAGCTCACTTGTACTGAAGGTCCTACCAGTACATGGCTCCTATTTGTTTAGAACCTGGGCGTTATCTGAACTTGCCCGAATGGCCTTGTCACACTACAGCGTATAGCAGTAACGTATAGCGACGTATGTGATTTTTTTGCCCAAACGCCGGCAACGCTGAAACACGCTATGGATAAGTTAGTTGAAAGTCGTATACGTTAAAAGCACGCTGGTATACGTTGTTGTACGCCGAAGCTTAAAAACATTTTTGTGTATGCATAAAATTTTCGGCGTCTGGGAACGTATGCCGGTATGAATTATACGTTAGGCATACGTTAGAGGTACGCTCTACATAAGTTTACATACGCCTGATATACGTTACCCAAACGGCCCGTTTTAGGCATCTTCCCCTACGCTGAGCGCGCTAATCATACGTTACTCATACGCTGGGCATACGCTGGCCATACGGTGAACACGCCAGACACACGCTGGCAATACGCTTTTTATCAGTGATACGCTACTAACACGTTAGACATGCGATACATATACGGTAAACTCTCGTCATGTATACGCTATGGATACGCCAAAAGCATGGGTTTTCGATGAACTCTCGACGTATGACAGCGTACTAACTGTCTTTCACACGCTTGGTGCAAGTTACTCTAAAACGTTGTAGTGTGACAGGGCCATTACTGAAAGAGTATGTTTTAAATGTGTTGAGTGTGTAGAGGATGTGTTGAATGTGTGGAGGATGAGTGTCCATTATGTGATGTTGTACGAAAGGGTTTACTGCAAAAATAGGGCCGTAAGACGTATGGCCTAATTTTAAACTTGCAGATGATATTGTCAAACCGATTCTATTTCACCCATTCCATTACTTTTTAATATATTTGCCCAAACCGGCAAACATATTTGATGTAAACTTTAACGATTCATGTATCAAAGCTTGACGTCTACGTTTTAATTTATACTTGTATTGATATTCTTGAAACTGCTATCACCTCTATATAAGATATTGTATCAGTGCATTTCATACCACTATCTTTCATAACTCCAATTGGCGTGGCTCCTTTTAGATCGGACATTGTTGGTCCTTGTGTTTCCTACATGTATTGAAAACAAATTTTAGATAAATAATTAGTTTGAAATTTGTTCGACGTCATATTTCTGCGACTTCGAGTTATAAAAAGCAATGTTTGTAACCATAAGGATGAGTAATGATGTGAATGGCGTCAACATTAAATGTTTTGCTCATTGTTTTAACAATTTAAGTAATTTGAATAATCTGAAATTTTCTTTTCGGGCCAATGGCCCAGAAGGCTGAGAATCCCCACATATAGTAATATGACTCGATTCAGGTTGCCGTCATGCATGCTTCTGATCAACAGCTGTAATCGAAATTACCAAAAAATATATTTAATCAATTGTCTTTAGAAGCTCCTGACAACATTTTTGTAAACTTTTGATTGATGTCTGTAACAATATATATTTTTAAAAGGCATTATACCAGAAATTGCGTTTGACCGAAAGAAAAACTTTCTCCTCCTACGAATACATGAGACTTTTTATGGATCACCTGATGAAGGAGCAAAAAGTAGCTCTGCAATCTATAAAAAAGTGTCATGTATTCATGTTCTTTCAACTTCTAAATACCTATCAAAGACTTCTCCTCCCACTCATTCATCACTCGTCTAAAGCTTTAATGTTGTTAATGCCGACCTTCTATATGACTGAGACACCCCCAACTATGTTTTGTGTAAGTTGATACACAAATTCCACCATTTCCTGAGCAAATACAAAAAAGTACACATTTTTACTGGTAAAACTTGGTTAAAGCTAATTGTGCCAAGCAGATATGGAGTGTGAGAGATATCCTATCTACACAAACTCACAAGATTGCCTTTGATTGGTTAAAATATCAGATATGCATGAACATTATCAATCACTGAATTGTCTTACCAATATTCACAGGCCGCCTTCATACAGCTGGAATATTGCTGATTGTGGCGGTAAACAACATAAACACACGCACGCACGCACGCACGCACGCACGCACGCACGCACGCACACACAAAGGCACACACACACACACACACACACACACACACACACACACACACACACAGAGGTATCAACTGTCCGGCGTGTACTGTTTCTAGTACATAATGTTGGCTGTCGCGTAGGTCTACGCTTTCCTTCTCCCTCTAGTGTCACTGTTACATCATAGGCATTATGACGCCACAAATACTGCTGTTGTGCGTCGCCTAGGACTAAGTTATACAGCTCATCTTTGAACGTTTGTATTTTATCTAAAATACAATAAATATACTGTATCACTAAATGGTAACAATGTTGTTCAATGTTATATCTTAACATTATGACGATTTTTTTTATAAATGTAGCTTTTTATAAATAGCATATTCAATCTTGTCGACGTTAATACATTGTAGTTGAACTGTATTTGTCCATACACATGTGTCAAGTTCATTGAGGATTTATAGTTTCATGCTGAATAGGACCCCAGCAACCTATGCTTGTCGTAAGTAAATTTAGAGTCAACATGTTGCGTACTGTTTGTGCTGTACTGTTGGTGCTGTACTGTTGGTTGAGGCTTGTTTAGTGCCTCGTGTCCTGGCAAAAAATCCTGGTTAGAATACTAGTAAATCCACAGTAACCTATAATAGTTCTAAGAAGTCAGGCTCGAATAATTGGTTGAGGGCGTGTCATCGTTGAACTTGTCCTAGCAATCATTATAGGCTGTCAGGCAAGCTATGTATTAAAGTGGGTGGACGGTGGAACTAATAATTGAGGGGCTTGTCAATTCAAATTCGCATAGTTGGGATTTGTTTGATGTCATTGTTTGATATCCCGTTCCTATAAGTCATATGTTCCTGTTCAATACCAATTTCAACGCCTGTCACGGAGCGTAAAAACAATAACGAGTCACGATATTTATGTTTGTTTGAACTTTGTTGTCGTTTTTGTGTCTAGCAAACCGCTCTTAGCGAGAAAGAAAATCATTTATGATCATAAAGGTGTAACCGGAACTGCCTTTGCAAATGTTGTTTTGACGGAATAACCTTTAAGACGCGGTTCAAACCTAACGTGATATTAACTAAACCCTGGCGTGCCTGCCGAGTGATGTTTATTCTTCTAAACTACTCCTTCAAGCTTTGAAATGACTATTCTTAAAGGTCAAAATGTTTTAGTTTCAGGGAAGGATGGTCCATGATTTAACTTTCTCTTGTTTCAAAGATTGCAAATACATGTAAGGTAGAAGTAAAGTCTTGTTCGACGACATCGCTTTGTTGTTGTCTACAACGTCATGGGGCGGGGGTGGGCGAGTGGGTGTTAGGCGGATCACGCTTGCCCAAATCTTCACACACCGCAATTCACAGAAAGCCGTTGCTTTGCGTTTCAGATTCACGCTATGTTTCTAGGTTTGTCAGCATCAAAGTCCTGCTCACCAAATTAACCAAAGTCTAAGAACTGCATGTATTCTTCATGACACGATACAACCGAAATACTGTCCAAATGCGGGGTAAAACAGCACTCGCTCACAATGTCCCAGAATGCCCATGTTTCGTCACCGCGCGAGTCGTCGTGCTAATTCCGGGATATTTCCCCAGTACTGCTTGTCTCTAACGTTAACTCATGTTATCCTGAAGAAAAGTAATACTGTTGTAAGCCACTGAATAAGCACCGGGGATGTTTCAAAATGGGCGTTGATTTCTTTCGGCGCGATGTTCCGTCGTTTATTTAGGATTTACAGTAATTGCTTGAAAAGCTCAGGGTGCAATCTACGTCTTCGACTGTTTAATGAGGCCACTGCCACTGAAGCTAACGCAGATTCGAGTGATGATTGATTGAGTCAATTTTTATGCCGCTTTTTGAAATAATCCCGCCGTATCAGGCGGTGTAGTTGACATTCAGCCGAGTGTCAGTTATTCTGGTCTCATTCTATCATGTCGGAAGGTGGTCCAGTGGTGCATTTGCTGAAAGCTGCATAGAGCTCGGCTCACTAATTATTAGGCAATGTATAGCAATACCTTATTCAACCTATCAATTCCGTGTTTGCATACCTCGTGTCCACATCTCACGGTATATCGTTTCAGTTGCTGTTGTGATAGCGTTCTTCGTCTGCTGGGCTCCCTTTCATACACAGCGTCTTATGACAATCTACATACCACAAGAGCGATGGACAGACGACCTGCTGAGGTTGCAGACCTATATTTTCTATATTTCAGGTAAATAAACCGGAAATTATTATTATTATTTATATTTATTATTATGTGCATATTGGAATAAAAGAAATGCAATGTTTGGATAATCCTGGCACAGTCAGGTTGGTTTGGTTCATCATCGGCTTAGGGACCTTGCCCCATCTAATAGGCAGCCCAGACAGCGAATGGGCCTGGATAGTTATGAGGCTGCATACGGGCCTATTCCAAAGAGTCTTGTACTTATCATTATCCATGACACCCTCCACATATTCCGGGTCGTACCATGGATCGCCCTCTCTTTCAAAACCACCAGCATGGTGAAGACGGTTGTAAAATGATGGAGCCAACATGTCTCTTAAGATGCTGTGTTTGTGCCAAAGCTGGGCATCCACTGACAATGTGTTGGATAGTCTCATTTAAATCATTGCATATTCTAAATTTCATATTTACATTTTGATGCAAAATCACACATTGCCGGTTTCGAGTGGGCAGTTGGTGGTCCTGCGCAGCAATCAGAATTCCTTCTGTTTCACTTTTCAGGCCAGCCGGCTTCATCAAAGCGAAGGACTCTGCTATTATTATTATTATTATTATTATTATTATTATTATTATTATTATTATTATTATTGGAAGATGAGTATTAGTATTAGTATGTATATAGTTGTTCTTTTGAACCGAAACAAAATTCTGGTCTCACGGTCTTAACGTTACTGTTGGTTAAAGCGTTCGCTCGTCACGCCGAAGACCCGGGTTCGATTCCCGACATGGGTACAATGTGTGAAGCCCATTTCTGGTGTCCCCCGCCGTGATGATATCACATGAGATGTCCAGTCATGTAATGGTTATTAGTTTGATGATATACACATATTGTAACTTATGATTGTGTCAACTTATTAAAACACAACACAACGGGACAAACTCACATTCTTAAACGTAAACACATCGTGCTTATGCCACATTTGCTTCTGACCAGCTAGAGAGTGGAAGATTTAATGCAGTTTTGGCTCACCGGTTAGTGTCCCTATATCAAGGCTTGGCCTGTTTGTCCGTCGTCCGTCATCCGTCCTGCGTCGTAAACCTCTACTCCTCATGATCAGAAACAACTGAACCAATGACGATCAAACATCCCATGCTTCTTCCCACCAGTGTTGACAACCCCTAATTTTTTAACATGTTCGAGAATGATTTTCAATATGAAAACACTATTTATTAGGGGAGTTAGGGGGAGGATGTTTAGCATGATCATAATTACCCCAAAATTCATATTAGACACAGTAAACGTCTCTTCTCTGGCTGGGGGAGCTGAACCTTTGCATGCATATTTCTCCTTATGATGGGGTCTCAAATCATTAGATTTTAGTATCAGTTATTCCTCGGTATTTATGCAGAAAATACTTGAATATCAATGCTGACAGCAAATATTGTTAAATGACTGTCTTTAATGATATTTTACCTGTTGGCCATATATAGGTGAGCTTCAGTGCCTGGCAATATTTGTAGTATATTCAAGCTCAGTAAAGAATGTAATATACGGGTAATGTTGGTGCTTGCTGTGCTATTGGCTGAGGAATCCTAGCAAATCGGGAAGCCAGGTTAGCAGATCCTCAGTAACCTATGATTTCTCGTAAGGGGTGACAAAATGGGCCGGGTGATCTCAGTGACAACTCCAAACTAAAAAAATTGTTTGAAATAAGCATAAGAAAATACGATTTGCAATTGAATTCGACCATTTGTAGTTTTGAAAATAAAAACGTACAAGGGACAGCGAGGAAGCATAGCGTTTAAGAGTGAGACCATCATGCCAGCGACCCGGTTTCGAATCTGGATTCTTCCGCAGTGATATTGATTGCACATCGTTAAAAGGGGCGTAAACAACAACCAACTCCTCCGTGTAAGGTCATTGTAATAGTCAGGCTCGGTCGAAAACGATCAATACCATCGGTTTTCGTCCACGTTCCCGCGATCGTTTGAAGTTTTAATAGTTATTAAATATATGATTATTTATTATTACATACACGTCTTGTGTGTAAAAACTATGTATATTGTACGTATAAGATCAATTAAATGTTTCATAGTAATATTTAACAGTTATAGTTAGCTCCAGTGATCGGCTCAAATAGTCCCGCGATCTACTGGTGCTTACGTCATCAAAAATTGGGTAGTTCATTCAGGAATTGTTTCATGCTCTAAAGCCACTAAAGTAAATATATTTATTCCAAAATACTTACGTAAACACCTTCCTGGATGAACTACCCAACTTTATTGATATTGAAAGATTGATATATACTTTAGGCCGTGTTTGTAAATACAAGCATCATTATTCATGCACAACAAAGTGAAACTGTATTCTGTGGTTTACAGATAGCCTAATACAATTTACAAACTCAAATCGAGTAAAATAAAAAAAAGCCAGATGCAATCAAATATAAAACAAAAGACATATAAAAAACATTAAACAACATTTAAATGCATCGAGTAGCAAAGTTTTACAGTTTTATTGAATCCGATCACGCGTAACTATTGATGAAAGTATAAAACTAAAATATGAAGAAATGTAATTGAAGAAATATAAAAGTACGAAGTTATAGCAAATATTGGCCTTAGCGCATTCCATCAACTTAACTGTTCTCAGCTGAACTGGATCATTTGAAACATTTCTCATAAATATACCCAAAGGTGGCATCAAAACGTGCTTTAGGTGTTTTACACATTATTGCATTTCATTTTCATTTTTAACCCATTAGTCAATAAAACATAAATTTGCTCTCCCCAATCCCTTCAGCTGGCGTATATGTAAATGAGACTTGGAACTGCGAAACGCCATAGATAGCAGTTCATTTAGATTAGTGCCACATCAAAAGAGCATCGATGATTTAAGGATCGCGCAATCTTTGACAAATATCACAAAGGAATTGGTGCATATTTGCATGGAAATAATCTTTTAGGGTAATCATTGGCTTGCGGTTTTCACGCTGCATTAAAGGTAGTTAAGAATAATATCGATCAGCAGAAAATCACGAGGGCTACGGAAATGTGCATTTTGATTGAAGAGCAGCTTTGGCCATTAAAGCCTTGATTTAGTGATGTCAATACCATGTTCGTTTAACTAAGCCAATTTAAAATAATCAAAACAAAAAACATTCTATCCACATTTATTGTCATGCGTTTCTCTGAATTTTACACATTCAAGCGAAATTTAAACATTCATCCGAGCCGTTGTGTTATTTTAAAGTGATGGGACGCCAATAGCTATGTTTTATGTATATGGACTTTTAGTAAGAGTTCACTTCTCCAAATCACTCAACACGCTGAACCAACACTTCATTTAAGATACGGTAAACCTTCTGTATTTCAAACTGCACCATCTCAATGTATCGGTTAGACATCATACACATCACCGCCGTCATATGACCAGAATATTGTTGAATTATGCGCTGGACAACACAGAGAAAAATAATCCACATCAGCAATATTGTATTATCTTATCACCCCGTTTGTCTCGAACTAGAACTTCTAGATTATCCTTAAGATTTCGAGTAAACATGGTTTCACTCTATGTATGACTTGAACTGGCCACTGAAATGACATATATGTCTGCAACCTGTCTGCTGAGCACATCAGTCAAATGCAGTATTATTTAATCATTGTGGATCTATCACTGAAATAGTGTAAATTAGGTATATTTCGTTTATTAATTGGGGATTGACCAATCCACAAGGAACGAGAGCAATTCCCTTTGTGCGGCCTTGTGTCGCGGGTTCTGAGTATTAATTAAAGTGCATTATTCCTGGATGGAGCCAGTCTGTGTTCTGGACCATACATGTATGCTCGAGAGATGTGAATTAATAGTGTCGCAAAGAGAACTAAAGGTCTGAATTATTCTGAAACGATTTTGTTTGAACAACAAAGAATACGAATACATATACATTATGTATCCATAAGAGCTGCAAATAAAAACAGATTCTTCATTTCCATTCCAAGACAAGATAGTATAACAAAAGGGATTTCAGTTTTCCAATCATCATTTCGCCTAGCAGGTCAAGTAACATACATATACCCTATGTCCCGCATTTAGCATTGTACTTCACAGGTATTTATTGAAGTACTTGATAACAAATTCGTTTTGATATGATTAACTTCAAGACTAACGTCGCGCTATGGAGAACATACTTTTGATAAACAATTATTATATTTTGTTGGGTCTTAAAAATAGTTTTTAAATATTTTCGGGTGAACAGTACCTGTGATTCACTCAGTGCGTTTCAACGCAAACGGGACCTTTGATGTCGAGTCTGGCATGAATGTGCTTTGTGTCGAGCTGTGACTGAATATTTCAGACGTTGAACTGCATAATCCAGGGCAAAGTGTTCTTTGTGAGATAAGCATTTGTGATGAACGTCTTCAGTCTCGGTAATGTGTAGTGATCATCAACCCTTCTGGACGGTTCCGTTGCCTTCCCTGGTACATACATTGTCAATGGCGTATCCGACATCTTAGAACCACTTTGGTCTGATGGCTCAATGATACACCTGCCAATTAAACCTACAGATCTTCTAAACTTGTCGTCATCTTCTTGAGACAAAACTTGAGACTTGGACGGTCATAGATAGTTTCTTGTATTGCCCACGACCTTTGCTTTCATTGCTGCTGCCGGAAGAGCAAAACAATCCAATCTGTTCCTCCAACGGCGACATCAGTTAAGTTTACAGTGATACTTGTATTGCGTAATTTGTATCAATTTGTCCCGTTCATTTTGTTTAAAGTCATGTTTCATTTCACCGAAATAGGAGATCCCTACTATTGTCTAGTACATCTTCTTTGATATGAGCGAGGCATCAATGCAAAGTTCAACGAAGCTTTAAGCAACATTTAACCATATGAAACCGTTTGTGTACACATACATTTTTTTTCTCAGTAGGAGGGTGGGGAGGGGTGTCCCATTGTGTCGTCATTGGCACTGACTCAGAGTCTTCACGAGAGACTAACGAAAACACAAAACTAAAGAGCATATTATTATACCTAAAAATATGCATCGAAACTTATATTGATTTAAAATTCGGTTTCGCAGCAAATGTAGATATGTAGATGTTGGCAATGGCCAATGGGTTGGGGAAAAGTGCCCTGGAAGTGACGTCTTTCAGCGTTTATTTCTTTGGTGGAACCCATGGCCACGGGTATGGTACCGGTGCTTGCAGACTTCGGATCCTCGTCGCCTGGCAACGATGCAAAACAAAAGTCAAGGACACATATAACATCAGCCGTTCTCCATTTCTGTGGGCTCTTAAGACAAGCACTGGAAATAGAGACCTATTTGTCACGGAAACCAAAGTTAAACATGTTTGTTTGTTTAATAAATGTGTTTTGCAACAAGTCAGCAATATTCCAGCTATGGCACAGCGGCCTGTAAATAATCGGTTCTGGACTATAGCTAGACAAAACAGGGTTGATATTATCAGCAGCACCCCGTCTTGGAATGCTAGAGACCATTTCCAAACCAGGTGTCCCCGGAGTGTTTACCGTGTACACCAACTACCATCATGGATATTTTTATTGGATATTATCCAGTTTAGGTCACTTATAAATACACAGTATAAATACACTTATAAATTCAGAGTATTGAGCGTTGTTCCTCAATCACAAACGATTATCAACGGCTCTATCAAAATGTTTTTTAAGACTTTTTAGCCCACCAGACCTGAAAAGCATGAGTGTTTGTCGTCGTTAGTGGCTGGTCGTCCACGGCGGCGTCTAAATATTAATAGTATTACTTCGGAAGAAACATGGCAAGATGATGTGAACCATCTCGCATTCCGCGGGGTTTTCACAAACATAATTATTCAAACCACTGTGTCCGTGCCTCAGCACACATAAAGCAAGCGTCCTCGTGCTTCAACTATAATAGCTCAAGGAAAACCTATAAATCAGAAGTTGTTTGATCAAGGTTCAACATTCAAGGCCTCAGTCAAGCTTTAAAAAAGTTTTATGGTAGACATGGGGAGGACATTTTCAAATTCGACGCATCAGTGACCAAAATGATGTCAAATACCATTCCCTGTTTTGACTTGTACCATCTGTTCCCGTGTGTGTTTCTGGTGGACAATTGACATGCTTTTTTTTCATATGTTTGTTACGGGTGCCACGGGTGGGCCAGGATACGACCACCTTTTCCCGAACACCTATAATCATTACTATTTGATAGTGATTCATAAACACATGCTCACGACATAGTCGGAATCGTACAATCGACTCTGCTTCATGCAGAGATTTTTATTGGATATGAAAAGGCTTTTGTCGCTTTATTTACATAACATATGTTGGAATAGCAAACTGTATTTCTTAAATAAAAACACAATGAGCATCATCCATCAAAAAGCTATGGACACAGGATCAAACTGAAGCGTGTCTCACCTATGATGACACACAAATTTGTTCAAGAGGCTCGAATCAGCAGTCATATTTAAAAATGTCCATTACTCTACATTTTTTAACAGTGGAATGACATTTGATGTTTGGTATGTGTTTGATAAATAGTAGGCCCGTCACATACTTTTGCAATTGTTACATGTACCTTGTTTTGACCCTGCTCTGAAATTCTAATGTTGACCTTTGTCATTTAGGTTACTTCTTTGGATGACATCATATTATGTTATAATCGGTAGGATTTGTTGTTAAGTCGGCATGCACTATTCATACAGAAATATTTGAATATCAATGCTAGCACCAATTTTCGTTAAGTGGCTGTTTTTGTTGACATTTTATAATGTTGACTATATATCAAGGAGAGCTACAGTACCCTGACGCTATTTTCACTATTTTTAACGATTAAACCTGGCACTCACGTAATGACATAACTTGTCATTTCGTGGACAGAACAACCGGAGACATCAAGCGATTATATCTTAATTAATTGAGTCACGCAATGCTACAGGAGAAATGGTATTGATCAGAATCTGGTTCTTTTCAACATGTAATTTCCCTAATGCGAATCTAATTCAGAAGAGTTGCATTTTGCCCTCAATTAGACCAAGAGAAAACTAACGTAGTATAAAGGTCAAGTTGGTTCAGTAATTCTTGATAATTTTTGTGAAATTGGAAAACACCCAAGACATAATACCCAAGCGAGTTGCACAGTTCAATTATATTTCACTAACAAGCATTACATGATCACTTGAGGCGCACGTGTAGGTAGTCTGTTCATTTTGAAGTTTTTTGTGTGAAAATTGTTTCACGCCGCTTTGAACAATATTTCAGTTTCATCACGACGTGGCAGCTTTATGTGGGAGTAATGGTTGAGGCGATGCCTGTCTTAGACGTGTAACACTTCGTTGAAACCTATGAACACAGCGAATGTGGGAGTCGAAACTATAATTATAGGTTTCTGGCAAGCGTACTTTTCTTACTTTAACGGGGCGGTAAAATGATAAAATCTGTCAAATTATATGGCTGTTAATGGTTGTAAAGAGATCATAAAAAAAAACACATTTTTGCAGGTTTAATAAGTCTAGGCATTGGTAATCCCTTTAAAAGTGAGAATAGTATTATCATATGGCCATAGTTACACAGCTGTTACTGTGCGCAGTTCTAGCAAGTTTGTTCAAATCAAACTTTGACTGTCTGACAATTCACTATTTATTATGTCTATGAATACTAATGTCTTGTTTACTGAATGTCAAAAAGATATCAACCAATACATTTGTACACATTTCGTCCAGTACATATTGTCATACCCGTATACATAAATGATTCCTGAGTGTAGGTTCTTGGCGTTCCTTTTCAGTTCTATCTGTTTAGAGTGTGAAGAATAATTCTAACAACAAGAAAAGGGATTTCCTTTTCATACCCTACAGTGAAAGAGAGCGACAAAACCCTTTCTATATATTCATGAGAAATGTATGCCGATAGCTGAGTCGATTGTACAATTCCGACTATATCATGAAGATGTGTTTATGAATCACTGTCAAAAGGTGACGATAACAGGTGTTCGCGAAAAGGTGAGCGTATTCTGCCACAGCTGTGGCAACCGTCAAAAACACATGCAGAGGCAAATCAATTGTTCACTTTAAAAACTCGGTAACACATTTTTCAGCAAACTTCAACAAACTTCAAGAAAACGTTCACATTTGCCTATAGGATCTGTACATTTTGGAAAAAAAAACAGTGAATGGTATCGACATTAAGATGGGAAGACCTTCACAGCAAAGAACAACATATTTTGTTCACAATTTTGAAAATTACCAAATATTCATACTATAAGTTTAGTGTGCATTATCTGATTCATTTTAATGTACTCCTTGTTTCAGGTCTCTTGTACTTCGTCAGCTCCGTGGTCAACCCGATACTGTACAACGTCTTGTCCAAGAAGTACAGAACAGCTTTCAAGAGAACGCTGTGTCAGTGCTGGCCCAAGAGCGGTTACACCAACGACATGAGTGTGTACAAGTCATCGCGATCATGTGGAACGTCTGTTACGATCTATACCAATCATAAACTGTTGCCGAAAGAGAAGTCACGGATACTTAATTCAGATTCTGAGATTGTTCACTCCGCGCTGTAGGAACACCACACATACGTTATATTTGTGTACATAGAACACCTCCAGACAGGAACACACCTTGCATATTGTGATTGTGAATTAAAATGCACCACCATAGATCGCATTTACCATTGTGTATATAAATTATGGAATATTGTGAAGGATATTGAAGGAATCTCTCAAACATGTTGTCTTATAAGGCAGAGCATGCATGCCACACTTTGTTAAATATCAAATATTGGTAGATATTACTTTCAAATTGTAGTATAAAGGCTATGGGTTTTTTGCAATTAGATTTGTTCGTCATAATTGGATACTGCGAAAATGTCCCTTATGTTAATCCATACATTCATGTTTTTGACGTGGGAGACTTCCAAGAGTAGTGAATCATCGCATTACTGTCTTTGCCAGTTTTTCGCCCTTCATTTTCACATTCAAATGACTTGGGAAATGTTGTCGACTTTAAGACATTTAATTATTTTTCTCCAAGTGCGGAAATGACATGTGTTTGAACTGAAGTGCCATATGTTTTGTAAATCGTGTTTGAAAGTATGAAGACCCACGACACGTTCGCATGATGTCTCAAATGAGGCGTTTTCTTACCTAAACCGACATACGTTTTGCTTCACATTTTCTCACAGTCATAATTTAGATTGATGTAAAGTTATTTATAAGCAACATTTTTATGACAGCTAACAATTCATTACTGTCAGTGATCATGTGCTAAGATAGCTAAACTTTCTAGACCATCAGTGATGGTAATATACGATCGTTGTGTTGAGAAACATGCCGAGAGACATCCCTGACAGCAGATGTAAAAAACATCTCTTGGAAAGGTCGTAAATGGAAATACCAAGGTTTTAAACAGCAAGATGAATCTGGACATGAAATGGATCAACCTAACAAACTTGAAATATGAGGAATTAATTAACTCTTCCAAGACCAGATGTTGATGTATTTATAGGTTTCAAAATAATTATGCTTTGCACTAAGTTTGGTCGTCCATGTATTTAATTGAATATACATATGTGTGTTGATGTTGTAACACGACACCTGATGCGTACGGGTCATGTTTAATGGCATAGACATATCAGGGAATACCTTTTTCAGCAAAAACAGAATTTGAAAACCGGAAAACAAATGATTAACTTATATGTATTAAAATTCTTACCTTTTTGTGATTAATAGTTCATTTATGTGTCTGCTAACGTAATTTATCGAAGTGATTTAATCATTTAATAACGGGAGGATAATCATCGCTGAAAGTGTTTTGGTGTCTTTAACAGATAATTCAGTGATGATCAGGAAAACGTGGTTACATTTTGAACTATTTTGACCATTTGGTATGTGTTTAATATTACCCAATAATAATTGGAGGTGTCCAAGTCTGTTCAGTATGGCATCAAGTGTCTCCTAAGATTTGATTTAGGTATTTATTTACTATTGTATCATATGTATATGGGGCACGGGTGGCCGAATGTGCCACAATTCGCTGTGCAGAGTTGCGTCCCTTAGGCATGCCAGAAACCTGTGATTGCGGTTCTAATCCCGGTTCGTCCTGACAATGTTTCTAGATTTGTAACACTGCACCATAGCCATTGTCATGGGTTACACCAAAATGGTATTTCACCGTCTACGACATGTATCACTGCGGTGTTTCTTACCGAATTAAGCCGCCAACTGAAACTATGTTCAAAATGGCGTTAAACCCAACTTCCATACAGCTACTATGTATGAAAATGATACTTTTTGAACGATTGTTTTGTTAAAGTCTTGTAACATCATTGAACTCAGGCCTGTTGTATATACTTTGATTCTAATTTTACTCGTCACATGTGCTATTATAGATGTGCATTGTTGCTATTACTTGATCATGGGTTCGAACCCCGTTTCGCCCCGAGTATGTTATTAGGTTTGTCAGCAAACCGTGCTCTTGGCTAAACGCCCCGTCTTGTCATCACGCTCATGAATAAACATAAAATCACAAAGTGTTTCTCTGCCTGATTAGAATAAGTAGTAAATGTCCTATGACCCGTAATTTATTAGTAACACTAATTGTTTCACCGGTTTCAAAAATATTGCTTGCCCTTGTATACACGATAAAGAATTAACATTCATAAGAAGCTTTCAAAATATCCAAAAGGAACTGTATTCTTACAAAAGCGAAGAAAGAAAATTAGAAGGTCTATCTTTTCTATCATCGAGTCCGTAAACTAATTTATAAAAAAGGCATATCTCAGCATTGATAAAACGTAACCCCTTTTATTTAGTCCGGAAACCCCGTATTACCAAAAGTTGCTTGTGTAATGTCAATATATATAACAAATGACTTAAGTCCAGACGCAGTTTACCTGAATCTAAATTGTTTTAAATGCGGGCATCTTCACCGTTTCAGTTCGGTCTAAGAGGGCTTATCTGTATATAGGAAAGATGTGATTACAGTATCAATATTTTGTATGATTTTTTAAATATTTGTTAACAATAACAGTTTACGCACGCCAGTCTTGTCAGCCATGTTAGCTATGGTAGCATGTTATTATAAACTTGTCAATTTCTCAGGTTTACAAATGTATTGGAAATATTTCATTTTGTGAAGTAACTTTTTAACGTTTTCCCTTAACATGGACTCCCGTCAAGCGTAGCTTAAGTACACGTGAAATAGAATATTTAGACCTGCAGAGATGCGATGTTTATATTCACGTTGTAACCATTTTGGAAATAATGGTAATTTGAATCCCAGAATCATGCTGTCGAAATGGCAATTACATGTGTCGTGGATATGTTACAGTCAATGTGTCAATTTTCACTTAGACTGTTTACAAAAAGCCAAAATATTACAATTATTTCACAATTATTTTTATATTTATTGTATCATAATAGCGAATTCCAAACATTTCTTACCTCTATTTCGTCACACAGTGACTGAAATTGATTGGATTAAAAGACAACCAAAGTCAATGTATATTTTATTCTTATTTTTGCTTCTAATCCTATAATTAGTTTAATGTGATGTTTATAAGCCCTTTTGAACTTCTTAATAACTTTAAGTCAATCTGACGAAGACATATTTTTGTAAAATGACGTTTTGTAAATTGCCTATGTGGAAATATCAGTCATTTTACACATTGATCGTGACATATATTCCGGTACGTACCTCAGCCTACATTGACTTAATGCTCATCAAATTGTTTCAGTATACAATACAGCTTGCTCCACTCTTTGGTTATATATGACTTAGTAATATTTCTTTAAACCAATCATCCTCATGTTAGGTATTGCCTTCTTATTGTTTCATGTTTTCATGTGATTGACCTTTGGAGTTGTTCTCTCCAAAAATAATTTGTAAATAGTATCATGATGCACATTTCTGTACATATTCATTGATATGTTTAAATCACCATGCCCTTTTTTGCTTGTTCTCAGTTCTTTTGATTAAATACGCTTGTGGATATCGGTGTTTGTGACTGTGCGCGTTGTATGTTGTGAGGTTCAATGACGTTTATAACGTTACAACGTTTGAACAGGGCATTTGGCGTAATCTCTTTTATCACATATGACCTTTGTGTACTTCATTGAGAAAGTCTACTGGGAAATCTGCTTTATTGCAGAAACAAATAAAGGCACATCATCACAGCGAGTGTTTGGAAAGCAAATAAAATTGGTTATTTTACAGTGCACCAACGACTGGTTGTGAAATATAGCAGTGATTCTACAGCGGTGAGATGAAAATTAACAAACAAAGGTTTACATTTCTTCGGTCTTATAATATGTGTAATTGGTGATTGGACAAATTTCATTTGCTTTACGTCGCTTTTAGTATAGTAATAGTAATCCCATGTCGCGATTGGGAATACCAAAAATGTGTTCATATATGTTTGCCTACGTGGGAATCGAATCTTGGTCTTCGATGTGACGCTTTCACAACTGGTCTGTCCCACCTCACCTATGGATGAGAAGTAATGATCTTCTGTGAGTCCAGAGGTTATTGCTCCTGTTGTTCATGCACGTGATGAGGCGGATTTGACATAGCTTATATATTAAATGCAAAAGTTATGGGTGGGGTCCGTGCGTGCGTGTGCGTGCGTGCGTGCATGTGCGTGCGTGTTTGTGTGTGTGTGTGTGTGTGTGTGTGTGTGTGTGTGTGTGTGTGTGTGTGTGTGTGTTGATGCATGTACTAGTCCGGACTTATTCCAGTTTCATTGTGTTAGCCCACTGAGATACCATGCAGCATGGATGCCCAGCAGAGACACACTATATTCTTCGAGCCGACTAGTCCTTGTTTTACCTCGTTGTTTCCGAGCGCCAGGCAGGACTACAACAACTACCATCTTTTTACGTCTTTAGTAATGTGCGGCCAGGGTACCGAACTACCGACCTTCCGCTCTGAAGGCAGACACTTTTGTAGACATTTATTTGTCTAATGATCCTCTTGTGAAGCATGTCAGGACTCATGATAAAAACAAGGCATTCCACAGTTTACTTAAACGAGCCAAGGATGTGGGAGATAATCTCAATGTCAATGTTGATTTTGATGGTTCTTCTGTACTGTTGGACGGTACAAAAATAAGTATCAACCAAGCGAAGTGCCATATCAAATCGGCCCTGACTCAGTTTTTTCAGGGAGGGCCTATCAGAACGACCACTGCATCGCATTTATGTGCAGGCCTGCAGAGTCCTTCGCTTGTGATGAAGCCGGCTGGCCTGAAAAGTGAAACAGAAGGTTTTCTCTTTGCTGATCAAGACCAGTCAGTGCCCACTCGAAACCGTCAAGGTGTGATTTTGCATCAACATGTATATTTGAAATGTAGATTATGCAATGAATTATAATGAGACTGGCCAACACATTGTCAGTGGATGCTCAGCTTTGGCAAAAAAACACAGTATCTTAAGCGACATGGTGGTGTGGCTCGATCCTTTCATTACCGTCTTCGCCATGCTTGTGGTTTTGACACAGAGGTCCATCCATGGTACGACCCAGAATATGTGAAAGGCGTCATATGGAAAATGATAAATATAAGATTCTTACAGCCTCAGACCTGTCCAGGCCAACAAACCGTATCTTGTCCTTTTTAATAAATTCAATGAAATCATTTATATTATTGAATTTTCTGTCCCTTTTGACACTAATGTGACTGATGGCGAATATGCAGACCTCGCTTTCGAAATGTCACGCTTGCATCCCAAGTACCAAGTTGTCCGACTCCCCATTGTTCTCGGCGCCTTAGGTTTGGTACCTCCCAATCTGTAAACTGACATTGGGGGAGTACACGGGTTTTCTGCCAGGAATACAGCCCTTCTGATAATCTGGGTAATGCAGAAGGCTGCAGTGTTGGGGAGTGTTGACATTCTCCGAAAAGTTCTGGGTGGGTTTGACAAGGCAGCGCTTCCCGGGAGACGTCCCAGTTGCTGTCTGAGCTGTGTGTAGAGGGGGCAAGGGCCCTGAGCTGATGATGATTATAACCAGCCTGACTGTGTCAGGATCACCCAAGCCCTCTTTGCTGCATTTTTTATTTTAAATTTTAATCTGTAAATAATAATAATAGTAATAATAATAATAATAATGTTGCTATTTATTTTGAAATCTTTTGTAATAGGCATTGCGTTTGCTTTATAAATCATAAACCACGAATTCCAGCAGTTAAAAGCTACTTCTACCAACCAGTTCAACCCACGTAACAAACTTGCGCCATTTTCAGTCAGCAGCTGGTTAGACTTAAAGGGCTTGCGACTACTCTAACAGGCACTGAGTATTGATTCGGGAAGACGGTGTAGTCAGGTTCATCAGCTGTTGGGACGAGCTCTCGATCCAACACGATGCACACCCACACATGCTGAAAACATACAGGACGACTCCCTAATTAAGCCTAATGTAACGCGCTTTGTGACGTAGTTTTTCTTATTTCCGCCACATATCTCCTACAAAGGAATATTTCAATAGGTTTTCCATTCCTTCCTATCGTAGAGGACTCTCGAGAGTTGTGCGATCGACTTGATATAGGGCTACATTAAGGAACATCCATCTCTCTGTTGAGCGCCTGTCCATATAAGTGTTATAATATTTTCAGTAAACTTTAAAGTGCATTTTGTGAAAGTGACGCAAAATGGGACCTCGTTATTCTGGACTGGATACTTTGAACTCGTTCAGTTAACATAACACAATACAAGCTGCCAGAAGAAAGTATACACTTCAAATTTGGATTTGACCAAAGAATGTTTTGGCTCAAAACAGTCGCCTGAACACTTTTAACGTAAGGTGCAAAACACAACTACGATACCGGTGTCACATAACTCACCTTTGGATTTTTTGTTTGCCACCATCAAGCATGGGTGTATACTTTCTTTTGTCCGGCAGTTTATATATGGAATAAACAGTACGAGTTGACTGAGAACACCTTTTATTCGCACATATTTACAAATTTACGAATTAACGCGTCAGTGTTTTATTTTGAATAATGGTATGACGACCGATAAAACTATGTTCCTCCTACCTCGAACTCATTTCTTACTCGAATACTTGTATGTTTCACGGACTGGTGCTCATTTCAAGGTTAGCCATCACCATGAATCCCGGACTACCCCATCACTCAGGCACGGATAAGACACCACAGTCAGGCTCGTATGAGCCTCACTCACAGTCTCGGATTAGCCTCCACGCTCAGTCTCGGATTAGCCATCACACTCAGCCTCGGATTAACCACCACGCTCAGTCTCGTATTAATCACTACACTCAGTCTCGGATAAGCCAGCACGCTCAGTCTCGGATTAGCCATCACACTCAGTCCCGGATTAGCCATCACTATAAGATTCTTATAAACCGCCACACTCAGTCTCGGATTAGCCATCACACTCAGTCTCGGATTAGCCATCACACTCAGCCTCGGATTAGCCATCACGCTCAGCCTCGGATTAGCCATCACACTCAGTCCCGGATTAGCCATCACGCTCAGCCTCGGATTAGCCATCACACTCAGTCTCGTATTAATCACCACACTCAGTCTCGTATTAACCACCACACTCAGTCTCGTATTAACCACCACACTCAGTCTCGTATTAACCATCGCACTCAGTCTCGGATTAGCCATCACGCTCAGTCTCGGGTTAGCCACCACACTCAGTCCCGGATTAGGCATCACTCTCAGTCTTGGATTAGCCATCAAACTCAGCCTGGATTAGCCTCACACTCAGTCTCGGATAAGCCACCACCCTCAGTCTCGGATTAGCCATCACGCTCAGTCTCGGATAAGCCATCACCATCAGTCTCGTATTAACGACCACACTCAGTCTCGGATTAGCCATCACACCCAGCCTCGGATTTGCCACCACGTTCAGTCTCGTATTAATCTCCACACTCAGTCTCGTATTAACCACCACACTCAGTCTCGGATTAGCCATCACGCTCAGTCTCGGATTAGCCATCACACTCAGTCCCGGATTAGCCATCACTCTCAGTCTCGGATTAGCCATCACACACAGCCTGGATTAGCCACCACCGTCAGTCTCGGATTAGCCATCACACTCAGTCTCGGATAAGCCATCACCATCAGTCTCGTATTAACCACCACACTCAGTCTCGTATTAATCACCACACTCAGTCTCGGATTAGCCATCACACTCAGTCCCGGATTAGCCATCACACTCAGTCTCGGATTAGCCATCACACTCAGTCCCGGATTAGCCATCACACACAGCCTGGATTAGCCACCACCCTCAGTCTCGGATTAGCCATCACACTCAGTCTCGGATTAGCCATCACACTCAGTCTCGGATTAACCACCACGCTCAGTCTCGGAATAGCCATCACACTCAGTCTCGGATTAGCCACCACGCTCAGTCTCGGATTAGCCACCACACTCAGTCTCAGATTAGCCATCACACTCAGTCTCGGAATAGCCATCACACTCAGTCTCGGATTAGCCATCACACTCAGTCTCGGATTAGCCATCACACTCAGTCTCGGATTAGCCATCACACTCAGTCCCGGATTAGCCATCACACACAGCCTGGATTAGCCACCACCCTCAGTCTCGGATTAGCCATCACACTCAGTCTCGGATTAGCCATCACACTCAGTCTCGGATTAACCACCACGCTCAGTCTCGGAATAGCCATCACACTCAGTCTCGGATTAGCCACCACACTCAGTCTCGGATTAGCCACCACACTCAGTCTCGGATTAGCCATCACACTCAGTCTCGGAATAGCCATCACACTCAGTCTCGGATTAGCCACCACGCTCAGTCTCGGAATAGCCATCACCATCAGTCTCGTATTAATTACC